GGCCCTAGTTGTTGAGCTTGTCGACTTTGCTGCTCGTTGTCGTCTGGACTTCGCTACTAGTCTTGTTGCTGAGTCTGAGTCTGTCTGTCCTCCGTCCGTCGAGGGTGAGTGTGCTCTTAGCACGGACGTCCTTGAGGACAGGCAGGAGGAGTTCCAGTGTTTTGCTGCTGCTTTGCCTCATCTCGTGTCCACGCTGATTGCCCCTGAGGGAGACCCGGATGCACCAGACATCTCGACTCCTCGATCGTACGCTGAGGCGATCGAGGGTCCCTACTCCTCTCAGTGGCAGTCAGCCATGGACGCAGAGATGGCTTCCTGGAAGTCCACAGGCACCTACGTCGACGAGGTTCCCCCACCTGGGGCGAACATCGTCAGTGGCATGTGGATTTTCAGGGTGAAGCGGCCGCCGGGTTCTCCGCCTGTCTTCAAGGCGCGTTACGTGGCTCGAGGCTTCAGTCAGCGGCAGGGAGTTGACTACTTTCAGACCTTCTCTCCCACCCCGAAGATGACCACTCTTCGGGTGCTGCTGCACATAGCCGCTCAGCGCGACTACGAGCTTCACTCTCTTGACTTCAGCACAGCTTTCCTGCAGGGCAGCCTGCACGAGGAGATCTGGCTGCGCCGCCCACCTGGCTTCACTGGGTCGTTTCCCCCTGGTACCCAGTGGAGCCTCCGGCGGCCAGTCTACGGTCTCCGCCAGGCGCCCCGTGAGTGGCACGACACACTGAGGACTACACTTGCGGCTCTTGGGTTTGCTCCTTCTACAGCCGACCCGTCGCTGTTTCTGCGCACCGACACCTCTTTGCCGCCGTTCTACATCCTCGTGTACGTCGACGACTTGGTCTTTGCCACTGCTGACACTGCTGGACTCGCCCACGTGAAGTCCGAGCTGCAGAAGAGACACACGTGCACAGACCTGGGTGAACTGCGCAGCTACCTTGGCTTGCAGATCACCCGGGACAGAGCACAGCGCACCATTACCCTGACTCAGTCACACATGGTGCAGCAGGTCCTTCAGCGCTTCGACTTCACGTACTCCTCGCCTCAGGCCACTCCTCTGTCTACTCGCCACTCGCTCTCAGCTCTGCCTTCGGATGAGTCCGTAGAGCCGAGTGGCCCGTACCCAGAGCTTGTTGGCTGCCTCATGTACCTGATGACCTGCACACGACCTGACCTTGCATACCCTCTTAGCATCTTGGCACGCTATGTTGCTCCTGGGAGACACCGACCAGAGCACATGGCTGCAGCGAAGAGGGTGTTGCGCTACTTGTGCAGTACGTCGGGCATGGGGCTAGTGCTTGGAGGGCGACGTCCAGTGGTCCTCACAGGTCACGCAGACGCTTCTTGGGCTGACGACCAGGCTACGCTGCGGTCGTCACAGGGTTACACCTTCAGCCTTGGTTCCGGCTCTGTTTCGTGGCGGTCTACCCGCTCGTCTTCTGTTCTCGGCTCCAGCTGTGAGGCTGAGATCTACGCGGGAGCCATGGCTGCACAGGAGCTACGCTGGCTCACCTACCTGCTGACTGACCTAGGAGAGCCGCCTCGTTCTCCTCCAGTTCTGTACGTAGACAACAAGGCCATGCTGGCCTTGTGTCGGGAGCACAGACTGGAGTACAGAACGAAGCACGTTGCTCTTCGCTACTTCCTTGCTCGTGAGCTGCAGCAGCGTGGTCAGCTGCGCCTTGCTTACGTGGCCTCTGAGGCCAACACTGCTGATATCTTTACCAAGGCACTTCCGCCTGGTGATCATCAGCGCTTCTGTACGATGCTAGGTCTTGTGCCTACTTGGCCTCACTTGCTCACTTCTTGACCTTGCTTGTACTGTGATCTTTCTATACCTGCACTTGCCTGTTTACCTTTATATATGATCTTGCATGTGAACTGGCCTTGTGGCCTTGCTCTTGTGCTCGGATTGTGTGGTGACGTTGTGATCCACCCTGAGCTTGCTTTGCTTTGCTTGACTGGTCTTGTGACCTCTTGTTCTCCCCCACTTTGCCTATGGGGGTGTGTCAAACTCATATCATATAGCTTGTCTAGGCTATAGTGGGGTAGACACTATGGGGTACAGTTTCCTAGGGTTTCCTACTTGTACCCAACCTTGTGCTAGTTCATTCATTCCTCATTTCTTCACAGTTATGTGTTTAGCATTTTGTTTCGAAGTGTCGCGACCAACTTGTGAGTCACAATTGAGTCAGACGCACATGTGTCACAGTCCGTGCGAAGACATTCTTTGTCGCCACTTGTATAATTTGCCTTAAAAAACTTTCAAAAATCAGAGTTGTGTTGGTGATTTTGCCAAAACGTACAGCTAATCAGGTTGGGACAGGATTGGCACAAAACCTCAGTGAGGAGGTGCAATCCTGTGCACTTGAATTTTCAGGAGGAGGTTGTGCTGTCACAAACTAGGAATTGCACCTCGTCACTGAGGGTTGGAGCGAAGCTCAACGTTACCTTGCTTTCAAATGATAGACCTAGGCCGCTCCGTCCAAGTATATAGACGAAAGCTTCAAGTATCTCCGATGAGCTATTAACGCCATTGATGCCACGCTCATCATGTAGTGATTCATAAGAACAGGCAACTACACATCATTGACACGCATGGTAACACCTCTGATAATGTCTTAGTTGTTTCCTTTGATGTCATTTTCTTGTACTCGCTAGTGGGCTGGGAAGGCTCGTCTCATGACTTGATGGCCCTACAGGACGCTTTCACACGAAGGATGTCACTACCTTACTCACTTTGGATACCGTTACGATGCATTTACCTTGACCCCTTACTGCTATCTTATTTATCAACTCAAGATGTGATTATCCTAGCCCCTTACCACTCTGTTATTTATCATATCGAGAGTTGGCAGCAAACGAATTACGTGCCGCAATGGAAACTGGAATTGTTTGATTGGGTGCATTCCTCACTACGTGCGCACTTCGATTTTTTTTTTAAATACCATGTGACTCTTTCGCTTCAACATGTAATGTCCGATTCTACGGTCGTGCTTTATTCTGCACAGTTTTATCACGGTCGGCGGAGGGGTTGCTGCGAGGATCGAAGAATTGGTTCAGAAATTATACTATGATCATCTGGATACAACACGAGTCTATATATAGACTCGACACAAGGCCAGTATCCCGGGTGTTACTATAAGGTTCCGCGGGTTGCGAAGCGTCCCCTTCCCACCACAATCGACGAATAGGCGGTAGGTTGTCGTGCAAACCATGTATTGCACTCAACATACCTGAGGATTGGGTGGGAGAGAAAGAAGTGCTCACCTGCAATCTACCGAAGGACATCAACCGCTTGCTTGAGATGCTGCAGTCGCTCGAGCAAATCCGCTACAACATAATGCAGAGGGAGGCGCTCGAAGAATCTACCGAAGAAAAACCGGCAGTGCTGAACGCCTCAAACACAACAAGGGAATTCGGTCCTTGCTCCCACTGCGAACGTAAGGCAGCAGATTGTTACTTCAAGGGAAAGCTGAATAGCTGTGAAGCGGCAAACATGGAAGGAGTTAGAGTAGAGGGTCATTTTTTCGAGATTGCAATCATTGTCGGAAGTACGGACATAAGGCTTACGAGTGCTTCAGTAACCCGGCCAGCAAGAACTTCAGGGGAGGACAGCAGCAAACAATAGCACCAGCAAGCTAGATGCAAAAGATGCCGGGCGCGTCATGCGTCCTGCGTTTCGATGCAGCGTCCGGATGCAGAGACGTTGGATGCGCGTCCAGACGCAGGACGCACGGTGTTTTTTTTTTTCCGGGCTGACTTTTTTCCGATCGCAATTGATATTCGCGATTTCGACGCGAATGTAAATTCCGCGAAACGTCGACCCCCCCAAACCCAATTGGACATAGAAAAACAACCACCGCACCCCCTTTCTAACCCCTCCATGCAAAATTGGAAAGCCCAACCCTCACAACCACTCTATATCTAACCAATGTGACCCAAAACCAAACCCATTTGTGCTCCCTCAATCTGCCAACCCAATTCTCCTTAAAAAAACCTAGTGGTTTTAGCTACCTTGTGCACATCCGTTATGGCTTCCTCCACCCAGCCTTCGTCTTCCACCGCATCTATAGATGATAATGTCATCGACGACTCTTCCCCCCCCCCGCGGTTCACTAAGGAAAGGGTGGAGAAGAAACCGCAAAACGCCTCTCACAATATTTATAAGCAATATTGGACCTTCGACGATCCGACTCAAAAGATGAAGCAAGCTGAGTGCCTTTGGTGCGAGAAAGTTTCGCCTTTATTAGTAGCCGGTGCACCCAGCATTTTGCCGTTTGGAACGACCCAAACATTCGGCGCGAGGCCGGGATCGTTTGCACGGCATGAAGGTTCCAAAACGCGTTTCTGATGGCATTCGCGAAATGGAGTCCAAACTTACGGCGCGCAACGATAAGAAGAGGGCGACGGGTGCGGCAGTCACTGCAGTGAGCGGCCAAGGCGGAGCGGTACTGAAAGCTAAGAAAGTGCGGATGAAGGACTCGTATGGCGAGAGGGGGATCTCGGCAAAGCGTGCGGCCGACGAAGCAGTTTAACTATACTTCGCGGGGACGCGCACAGCGGAGCTTCAGTGCGAGCACCCCCTCTTCCTCAACTTGCTGCGAGCCATCTCTGCCACCGGTAATAGCTGCATCCCCCCCAAAGCGTTGGAGGCGTCGGGCTACTGGAGTGCAAGCAGTGAATTGAGAAGGGATTGGCGCGCGTTACGAAGACTTAAAAAGAGACGGACGTGACAATCGCTAGCGACATAATGACGAACAAGAGCGGATGAACATCATCTGCATCAACGACAGTGGTGCAATTTTCCAAGAGGCGGTTGACTGTAGGGCGGAGACAATGAGTGGGGCATTTATTGTTGGCATCCTGCAGCCGATCATCGAGAAGATTGGGCTGGAGCACGTCGTCGCGCTTTGTACGGACGGCGGAAGCAAATACGTGTCCGCAAGTTGCTGCAGAAGAAGTACCCCCACATCGAGATCGTCCGCTGCGCCATTCATATGCTCGACTTGTTGATGGAGGACATTGGCAAGATGGATTGGACGCAGGAGGTCGTCCCAGTTGCGAACGACATAATCTTATTCCTATGCATCCACCGGTGCACGCGTGCCTTCCTGCAGAGTCCCAAGCTCCACGGCGAGAAGGTGATGCAGGCCTTGCGACCGGTGGGTACGCACTTTGGGACGCAGCACATCGCAGTGTCTCGTCTGCTCTATATTCACTCGCAGCGGACGCGGATGGTGGTGCACAAGGATTGGGAGGAGCAGGGAGGAAGCAAGCTGATCAAAAAGGCTTTTGAGGCATCGGCAATGGATGCAGAGTGGTGGAAGAAGGCGGAGACCTTTGTGAAGGTGATGGAGCTGCCGTACAAGGGGATGAGAAGGACGGATTGGGAGTGGAAGGGGAAGATGGGGGCGTTGTACGATATCATGCTACAGCTGACGGAGGAGTTGTCAGCGCTGTTGGAGAGCGCAGATTGTCGGCTCAAGAAGGCGGATAAGGAGGGGGTCCAGAAGCACTTCAGGTGGCGTTGGGACGAGAGTTTGACCTGCCCCCTTCACGTGAAGGCTATCTCGGAGATCTACCACAAGGATATTGAGTGCACCAGGGTGATGAAGGCTTGGCTATCAAGGCTTGGCTATAATGCTCGAGGGTCTTCGTCAACAATTTTTGGAAGAACGCCGGCGACACGAAGGGAACGATGAAGGCGCTGAAGGAGGGGATGCTGGCAAATATTGAGGGCAAGGGGTGCTTCGGGCCAGAGGAGGTGATAGAGGGGTGTGCGGAGCTTAAGGCCGGGAGGGGGGACATGGTGACGTGGTGGAAGGTAAACGGCTGGGAGTACGCCGACCTGGCTAGCCTTGCGTGCCGTGCACTTTCACAGCCCGTTTCCGCTCCCCCGTGCGAGCAGGGATGGGTTGTGTGGGATGGCGTGCACACGGCACGCAGGAACAGGCTGGGGTCGGAGAAGGTGCGCGACCTTGTGTTCGTTGCACACAACTTTACCGTTGTGCACAACCACCACAAGGGTGCGGCTGGTGCAGGGCCAAGTGGGGAAGTAAGGAAGGCGGGGGTAGTGGAGGGGAACATTCCACCCCTCCCCTTCCCGAGGGGTACAAGCTGGAGGAGGATGGAGAGGTGGAGGTGGATGAGGACGACTTGTGCGTCGATGATTACAAGCACCAGGAAGATTAGGAGGAGGAGGAGGAGGAGGAGGAGGAGGAGGAGGAGGAGGAGGAGGAGGAGGGGAGGAGGAGGAGGAGGAGGAGGAGGAGGAGGAGGAGGAGGAGGAGGAGGAGGAGGAGGAGGAGGAGGAGGAGGAGGAGGAGGCGGAGGAGGAGGCGGAGGAGGAGGAGGAGGAGGAGGAGGAGGAGGAGGAGGAGGAGGAGGAGGAGGAGGAGGAGGTGGAGGAGGAGGAGGAGGAGGAGGAGGAGGAGGAGGTGGAGGAGGAGGAGGAGGAGACTGAGGAGGATGAGGATGAGTGATTGGTTGCCTTGATGCAGTGTAGTATTTGTATACATGTTGCTGCATGATTGGATTAAATGTGACCTTCGGAAATTTGTGACTCACCTTAATCTTGATTATTGGGGGATATTGTTGGGGAATATTTAGCAGTGATAGTGTGCTACGGTCCCTCCCCCCACAACCCCCTTCCCATGCTCTATAACATTATTTTTTCGACTGCCTGGGGGTTTTTTTTACCCTGCCCAGGCCTGCGTCTCCCAGGCCCACATCCTGCGTCCTGCGTCTAAGACGCCTCGTTTGGACGCACTTGTCTTAGATGTAGGACGCGACTTTTGCAACTAAGCCACCAAGGACAAATGCAGCAGAAGCAGAGAAAAACGAAAGGTGATGCGATCTTGGGAGGCGCTCACAAGGCGAACGTCGCACGAGCTTCTGTGCTTGTTGGCGAAAGGGCTGAAAGAAACAAGTTGGTTTGAGGACAGCAGTGGCACTCAGCATATGACACACCGTGCGGGCTGGTTGCAAAACTTTCGACCTTCAAACATACCTTACATTTTGGTGGGCGCTACCTGTTAAGGGAGAAGGGGACTTAGTGTTGCAAAGTCCGTATGGGGAGCTAAAACTAGACAGCGTGCTACTCGTATTCAATCACAATTGGACAATTGTCAAGACATTTAGCGACAACGGCAAGCTGTGGATGTTCAACTCCGATTAAAAGGTGGTTGCAGAAGGAACACGCAAAGAAGGGCTGTATGAGATGTGTTTGAAAGAATGCAAGAAAGCAGCAAAAACAATCTTTCAAGCTGAACCGGAGGAAGGGAAGGTGGCATGGGAGGAACTACACGCCATGCTAAACAAGATATCGGTGGCGGTGCTACAGCAACAAACTCCACCGCTAGCTGCAGCAGTGGAAGGAATCAACGTGAAAACACTCCAAAGGAGGATTGGTTGGGGCGGGTTCAACTCATCACACCTCAGGTCAGAAAGCGCACTAGCTCGATGTGCATAGAAATAACTACATATGATGGGGGCTGCTATGGCTACTGCGCAGCGCCGTATCGTCAAGCCGGGACACTGCTCTCTACACGGAAAACCAGCATGCCCGTGTCAAACTTATATGCTATAGTCTGTGTAGGCTGTAGTGGGGTAGACAATATGGGGTACAACACTTTTAGGCTTTCCTACTTGTACCCACCTGTTTCCTAGTACATTCATTCCTCATTTCTTCACATGGTATAGAGCAGGTTCCCTAGTGGGAACTGTACCTAGGGCCCACCACTGAAAATCGATTAATTTTTTTTTTCTGCCTGGAGAGCGAGTCGCTCCTGACCGAGGCGCGCCCTGTGTGCCGTCCTCCCCTTAGCGGCCCGTCGCGCCCTCTCACGGCCCCCTCTCGCGGCCCCGTCGCCGCCCTTAGCGGCCCCTCGCGGCCCCACCCTACACGGCCCCGTCGCCGCCCTCTCGCGGCCCCGTCGCCGCCCTCTAGCGGCCCCGTCGCCGCCCTCACCGGCCCCGTCGCCGTCCTCAGCGGCCCCGTCGCCGCCCTCTAGCGGCCCCTTCGCCGCCCTCAGCGGCCCCGTCGCCGCCCTTGCGGCCCCGCCGCCGCTCTTGCGGCCCCGTCGCCGCCCTCTCGCGGCCCCGTCGCCGCCCTTGCGGCCCCACCGCCGCCCTCTCGCGGCCCCGCCGCCGCCCTTGCGGCCCCGTCGCCGCCCTCGCGGCCCCGTCGCCGCCCTCTCAGCGGCCCCGTCACCGCCCTTGCGGCCCCGCCGCCGCTCTTGCGGCCCTGTCTCCGCCCTCTCGCGGCCCCGTCGCCGCCCTCTAGCGGCCCCGTCGCCGCCCTCAACGGCCCCGTCGCCGCCCTCAGCGGCCCCTTCACCACCCGCAGCGGCCCCGTAGCCGCCCTCTCGCGGCCCCGTCGCTGCCCTCTCGCGGCCCCGTCGCCGCCCTCTCGCGGCCCCGTCGCCGCTCTCTCGCGGCCCCGTCGCCGCCCTCTCGCGGCCCTCCTGCCGCCCTCTTGCGGCCGCTGCTGAGCCGCCGACCCGCCGAGCCGCCGCCACCGCCGCCGCCGCCGTCGAGCCGCCGCTGCCGCCGAGCCGCTGCTGCCGCTGTCGAGCCGCTGACGCCGCAGTTCCGGCCCTGTTCCTGCCGGCGCGCCCCGGCCCTACCCACCCGGACTGGTGAGAGCACTCCCGAGCAGCGCCTTTGCCACTGCACTGCCCCTAGCCTACTGCTCTCACTGCTAGACTGCTGCTGTCATGGCTACCCCCAGTGTCCTTACCTTTGATGCTGAGGGTCGGGCTGTTGACTTTGAGGTCTGGGTCGATGACCTGCAGCTTTTCCTACAGTGCGATAGGACAGACGGACTCTCCCTGTTCGATCTCACCTCTGGTGCCACTCCTGCCCCTCCTGCCGATGCTGACAGCACTGTTCGCTCACAGTGGGCCACACGCGATGCTGCTGCCCGTCTTGCTATGCGTCGCCACTTACCAACCACTGAGCGTGCGCATTTTAGTCAGTACAAGAGTGCTAAGACCTTGTACGACGCTGTAGTTGCACGCTACTCTTCCCCTGCCACTGCTGCCCTTAGCCGCCTCATGCTACCGTACCTGTTCCCTGACCTCGCCGCCTTTCCCACAGTCGCTGACCTCATTACGCACATTCGCACTAGTGACACCCGCTACCGCGCTGCGCTTCCTGCTGAGTTCTGCGCCAAGAACCCCCCCCCCATGTACATCACCCTCTACTACATAGTCACCCGGCTCCCTGACTCCCTTCGCTCGGTCAGGGACCACTTCCTCTCTGTTTGCCCCACCACACTCACCGTTGACCTCCTCGAGGAGCGCCTCCTGGCAGCAGAGAAGAGTATCGTCGCTGTAGGAGCCTCTCGTGGTGACCCTCGTACCCCCTTCTTTGAGGGGTGCTCCCCCTCCCCCCTCTTGCCCTCTGTTGCCTCTGCTGCTGCGGCCGACCTCATTGGCCTCGAGTCGGTCGGAGCTGCGTCTGCCCCTAGCGGGAGACGCCGCACCGGCAAGGGCAAGGGGGGCAAGGGTGCTGGAGGAGCTGGCAGGGGCGGTGGAGGTGGCGGTGGAGGCGGTGGAGGGGGTGGGGGTGGTGGTGGGAGTGGTGGCGGGGGTGGAGTCGTCGGTGACAGCAGTGGGGGCGGAGGAGGCGGCGGCGGTGGCGGTGGGAGCGGAGGTGGCGGTGGGAGCGGAGGTGGCGGCGGCAGCGGTGGAGCTGGTCGCGGCTTTGCGCAGAGGGGTGGCTCCGGTGGTGGTCAGCGCCAGCAACAGCAGCGCACTCGTGAGACTCTGTCCCCCTAGCAGCTTCGTGAGTGGTACGCTGGGCGTCAGCGGGGTGGGGGTGCTGGTCCCTGTACCTACGTCCTTCGTACCAGTGCGGGGGCCCGCACTCCACCAAGCGCTGCTTCGGCCGCCTGACGGACGCTTGGCGTCACCAGTTCCCTGATGCCACGGAGATCCCTCGCTGTGGCGATCTGTCTAGGGCGGGGGTTGCTATCTTTGATCTTGATTATGATGCTATTCTTGCTGCCATGTATGCTGTGTCTACTAGTGATGAGAGTGACTGTTACCTGTGTGTTCCGCCTGACCCGGGCATTGGTGAGGCTGCTGCTCTAGGTGCTGGTGAGGCTGCTGCTGTAGGTGCTAGTGGGTCTACTGCCCCAGGTGCTGGTGACTCTGCTCTCTCAGGTACCACGTCGGCTCAGGCCTCCCACACCTTCACCCTTGACTCGGGTGCTTCCCGCTCCTTCTTTCGAGACCGCACCACACTCACGCCGCTTAGTCGGCCAGTTGCGGTCTCCCTGGCAGACCCCTCTGGAGGTCCTGTCCTTGCCCACTTCTCCACTGTCTTACCGTGTCCGGCGGCCCCTTCTGGCACCCTGTCCGGTCTTTACCTCCCCTCGTTCTCTACGAACTTGGTGAGTGGTGCTGATCTACAGGATGGGGGGGTTCACCAGCTCACTCCTGCGAGTCAGCGAGTGACCCACTGCACGCGCGCTGCTCCTCACTCCTCCGAGTTTCCTCCGACAGAGGCTCCGCTGCAGACGCTTCACATGGACGGTGGGGCCCAGGCCGCGTCCGTGGACAGGGTCACGAGCGTTACTTCCTGCTGGTGGTTGACGACTACTCGCGTTACACCACAGTCTTCCCCTTGCGCAGCAAGGGTGAAGTCACTGGGGTGTTGATCGACTGGATCCGCGCTGCTCGTCTCCAGCTCAGAGAGAGTTTCGGCTCGGACTTTCCTGTTCTGCGTCTGCACTCCGACAGAGGCGGAGAGTTCTCCTCTGACCTTCTGCGAGCTTTCTGTCGTGCACGAGGCATCCGCCAGACGTTCACGCTTCCGGCCTCTCCACAGCAAAATGGGATTGCTGAGCGCCGCATTGGCATGGTCATGGACGTCGCCCGTACGTCCATGATCCATGCGGCTGCCCCCCATTTTCTGTGGCCGTTCGCGGTTCAGTACGCGGCGCATCAGATCAACCTTCAGCCCCGGGTCTCCATGCCGGAGACCTCCCCTGCTCTGCGGTGGATGGGGAAGGTTGGCGATGCGTCTGCGTTCCGTGTCTGGGGATCTCGGACGTTTGTCCGCGACTTGTCTGCGGACAAGCTGTCCCCCCGTGCTGTTCCCTGCGTCTTCCTTGGCTTCCCCCCTGACGCGCCAGGTTGGCAGTTTTACCACCCCACCTCGCGCCGTGTTCTGTCCTCTCAAGACGTCACGTTTGACGAGTCGGTTCCCTACTACCGTCTCTTCCCCTACCGCACTACGTCCCTCCCCCCGCCGCCGCTCTTCCTCGCGCCAGGTCCCCCCACGGTAGAACCCCTCCCCCCTCAGGGTCCTGCCCCCTCAGGTGTGTCCCAGGTAGACGCAGTCGATCCTGTCGAGGTAGCTGTTGACTCTGGTGCTGCTAGGGGTGCTGAGCCTGCGGGTGCAGGGTCTGGGGGTGCTGAGCCTGGGGGTGCTGACTCTGGGGGTGCTGAGACTGGGGGTGCTGAGTCTGGGG